TATTTTTCTATGTCAGACTTAGCACTATCTATATTTTTTAGAAAGAAAAATTAGAAGTAGCAGAACCAGCCTTATAAAAGGTTATGAAGTAAGTAGACCTTTCTCACCTCTGTTACACTGTTTCTCCTAATCTCCCTCAGAAACAGTTATTCTCAGCTAGGAAACTTAATTTTTCAGTATGCCATCTTCTTAGTTAAATTTTAACTGATTTTACAGAAAGGAAAGCATAACATTTAAAACTTAAAAAAAAAACCCTAAATATTGCAGATTTTTTTTCTGAAAAGAAACTTATGAGCTAACAAATTTTCAATTTTTAAAGTGACAAGAACAATAAAACAACCGAGGACTGTCTTGATTTCATGTAGTTCATGTCACTAAGGGAACAAGTCTCCTGGTTCCCAGAACACGGCTCCCAACTCACTGCAGTGTCTGACCTCAATCCTGGTAACTTGAAAATGTTTCTCTGTCTAGACAGAGGTTCTGGGAAGCAGAATTTTGACTCTGACTTTAAAATAAATTACATGTCTGTTTCACCAACTATTATGTCAAGCCCTATATATCTAGGACTGCCTACCGTATTGGATATATTTTCAAAAGTATCTCAGAATTTTATTTTTGTTTTTTTAACTTAAAAATTGACAGAAAATGCTTATCTTTCAGCCACCATAAACTAAAACATGGGGATTAAATGGAGTGATGTTGGAAATTAATTTTTTATATACATTTATGATAATTTTGTTATTGAGAAATTACTTATTTTGATATCCCTGATTATTCCTTACCTTGGGCAAGAAGAAATAAAGCACCGAAATTAGACTATTTAGTAAGGTAACTCATCAGTAAAGCAATCTGTTTTTTATGAGCAAATGTTCATTGAACTCCCTTTATGAAGAGGGCACTGTGTTAATACTTGAAATATATGAGATACAGTCCTTGTCTTCTAGGAGCATGAATTGTACTTGGTAAAACATTCCAGGTAATGATGTTATTCTGCCTTGAGTTTTCAACTCAGTGTTCAGTTAATTTAGATGAAGTATTTTAATTAATTAGAAATTTGGTCCTTTTGTGTGAAAGAATAAATGTTCCACTAGAAACTATTTGCAAATAGTACCAGGGCTTCAGATTGTTCTATCATGAACTAACACAAGATACCTTTAGAGGTAATTACTTAGAAATCAACAGCATTCTTCAGAGTGGTAGTTCTAAGAATCTGATGTCATACATATATATTTTAACATAGCATCATGGCAGCAATATTGGACTAATTGGGGAAAAACTTACTGATACTCCCTAGATAAGTGTAACAAGTCAAAGAAATTAAGCAGTGTGAGAATGAAGGCTTAGTACAGTAGGTTTAGGCTAGGTTTCTATAATCCTTAACCTGAGGATAAAATAAGCACCATTTAAGCTGCCTTTATGAGATACATCACTACTTTTAACCTGAGTGAAAAATGTCTCAGCTTTGTTGACATTTATAGTGGACACTGGCATACTATCCCGATGTAGCCATCCCCCCACCCTCCCTGAAGCACTGTTTTCCCAGCTTCTGGGAATGGTGGCTAAGAGCTCTTGCTGAGTCCCTCTCCAGTCCAAAGTTATTCCCCTTGAAAGTAATGACTAATCACAAGGTTATGAAGTCCCACCCCATTGCCTTCATATGTTCCAGCTGAAGGGCCATCGCAGCTCTGGATTCACTAGGGACTTTCCTGGCTGCATCCCAGCAGTTTCTCCCTCTTTCCTAGTTCTGCTTTTACTCCCTCAGAGATGTTCATCTTGAAAGCATTCTCATTTAAACTTCCTGCACCCTAACCTCCATCTCTTAGTATACCTACCTCCCCAGAGAACGTGATGTGCAACAAAATCTTAAACCCAAAGTCCAAAAAAAAAACACACTTGATTTTTGCTTTAACAAACTATTCCTGCTTTAACAAACTATTCCTGCTGAGTTTTTCTTGCCTTTTATTTTCTTACATCAGGAAAAAAAAATGACCTTCAATCTTTTCTGATTCGTAATGTTTTATGAAGATAAAAAACAACCCAACCACTGCCTACTTCACTGGGTAGAACCTCCATGCACCTTGAAGCTATCCACCCACACCCACACCCCAAATCATTTTCATATCTATCTTCAACTTAGGAATGTTAAAGCAAAGGAGCTGAACTCCATTTCTAAGAACCTAAACTGGATTGGCTTTTCAGTACAGCGTTGATGATATTGCAGGGCTTTTGTTTTTGTTTTAAAGGACCTTTCATGTTCATGGTACAGCACTGGCAGTTTATATCTTTGGTAACCTATGGGTGTTTATTTCATGTGCATTTATCAGAACTGTGTTGAACTGATACATCACAGGATTCTCAGAACTTTTAATTCACCTTTATTAAAGTAAAACCTATTTAAAATATATGTAGAAAATAATGTCCTGGGTATTTTCACATACAAGACAGTCATTAAAAAGTTAAGAGGAGGCCCTATTTCTACTGTTTTACAAAGAGATCATCTCTAGTATCAAATACAATCCTGGGATTATGATATTCCTGTGGTCTAAGTTTGTTTAAGCAGTTGTTTTAGCTTTTACATTGTACAAAAAATAAAGGGCTATGTGTGTGACTTCCTTCATAAACTCTATCCAAGATAATCATAAAACAGTGTAGCAATCTTTTAACCCAGAGATCAGTACCTTCTATATGGAATGTATCTTTTTCACTCAATAAATATTTGGCTATGATTTATGAGATACTGGGAGGCAACTATGAAAGAGGCAGAAACATTCCTGACCCTCAAGCAGCTTACAGTCTGCTGGGGAATCCAGACATTGAATAATTACAAGCAAAATATGGAAGGAGCTTATACTGGGGAGGCTAGCCTCTCATAGAGGGGTTTCACTGTCATCCTACGCATTACAGGAAGGCAGGGAAAGCCTATGAGAGAAATACAAAAACATTTGAGAAAGGGGAAGGCTGAAGGAAAAAAAATTACAGCTTTTGATTTGAAAAAGATAACCTATTCATAGCACACAGTGATCCAAGATTTTAGGTGCTTTCAAAAAGTAACAAATTTTATTTTTACTTCTTTGTCTATATACCTAAATCTGAAATCCAAAAAGCAGAAAATGAGGCCTCAGAAAACACATCCTAATCTCAAACAACCAAAAGTATAAGACTTCGATGGGGCAGACAAAAGATTTCAAGAGCATTAACAGCTTAGGGAATGTATGTTCAAACCTCTTGTTTTATATTCAGAAAATTGGAAAACTGGGCTAAACTTCTATCTCAGAATGTGTTTAAAATAATTTGCATGATTTAACCTCACCAAAACAAGCTCACTGATTTGAACACCCCTTTATACCAGCCCTTTGTCATATCATCAGTGAAAAGTGTTTATTAAGAGGGGACAGTATGGTATACGGAAACAACATAAACCAAAATCTTTTACTTTCCTTTAATCTTAATTGAATTTCAGAGTGAGTACAATATGACTAGAAAGTTACAGCAATGGGACAAAGATCTGCGATTTTAAAACTGCACGTGCTTTGTTGAGAACTTTGGGTTAGACTTTTTGTACAGTAGACATTTCATCAAATACTGTTAGATTCCCAGTCCAAGGCTTTAATCAACATGCTCAATGACATCTTATAACCAACTATAAGACATCCCTCTGGTTTCTTTTCTGTGCTTTGTAAATATGTACATCTTTTTCGGGATCATAGTGAACCTTACTCACGGTAAATTGCCTCTCCAACATGGCTAAGAAGTTGTTATCCCGTTCATAGCGAATTCGGCAAGCTAAAAGAATCACGGAGTGGTTGCTACAGAGATGTTCCAAAGTTTGAAGAAGATCTGTGAATGTTTCTTCTAAATATATGATATCAGCTCCAAGTATCAGGTCAAATTCTCCAGGTAAAAAACTCCCCAAATTTTGCCCCCAAGTCAGCTCCTTAACAGAAGCTTTGGGTTGGATGTCGGGAGGTAAGTTGACTTGGACGTTTGATTTAAGAAATTCTAATGCTATTTTTCGATCCGTGATAGTCACGTGAGCACCTAGAATGTGGGACAGAAAGTCATGTACACATCAGTACAACTTACAGGTAGAGGGGTTAAGGTGGGTGAGGATCCCTAAATATTCCGCCTGATATGCAGATCGTGCCCTTCATGGACGGCTGCAATAGACCAGAACAATGGCCAGTAGTTCCTTCTGTGCTGCTTACTGGTAAAGTGAGCCTTTGATTTGCCTCTCTGACACACTTGCTGTTTGCTAAAGTTGTGCCTATAAAATGCAGGGTCCATTTTATAGTGACAGCAATCTGAGGCTTGTGAATTCTTCAAGGAGAGCTGGCCCACCCTCCACAAGTGTTTCTCCCTATACTTCATCTGTTTATTCATGATTTTCAAGTCAGTAGGCTTGAGGGTAAAATGGAATCCAAGAAAGAAAAGCTAGGGAGTAAATGCTTATGAAGATGGTAAGATAATAAAAACAGAGAAAGTCTATTTTCTTGAAAGAATCAAGAAAGAAACTAATTGGCTACTAAGAAATCACAGTCTACCTCTTCTGCAGTTATGGGGCAGACAGCCTATTTGTATTTCTGTATTATATATATGTAATTATTTGATAAACTTAGAAATTACTAGATTGTATTCAAGTACTGTTGGTTAAAATGTGAGATCAAACTCTCTAAATGCTGAGTTTCTAAATGCAGTGTATAAAATCAATGAGGCAGTATTTTATTAATCTGTTTCTTGTGGGTTGTTTACCATAAAGGCCCAACTTGTTTAACCAACAAGGCTGAGGGAAGACTGCCCTAGTAGTTGCCCTGAACGAGCAGCCACCACAGGAATCCTGCCCTGAAACCTAAGCCACACTGTAGGAATCTCCAACTGAGGCTGGCACCCAGCCTCCACCTAGGGGCTGGAAAATGTACAGCTTATTGATAGTTGTGTGGTAGGTGTGAACGAGTGTGGAAGACGACCTAGATTTGTTGAACCAATAAACAGAATGAGTGACATTAAGGACTGGGGTTCAAGTCTAGCCTTTAAGCTAAGTTATGGGTGGCTATTCATTGTTTTGATGCTAACTGCATTAATCATTGAATAGAGCTTAGATGGTTGTTAATGAGTTGACTAGGTGTGGGAAACAAGATACTTGGGAATGTAATTAAATAAAAATATATAATAAAATACAAACAGGTAATGCTATTATTGTTGGGGAATAAATTTCATTCATTTTGTTTTTCAAGGGTGAAGTGTTTTTGGTGTTTTAAATTGTTTTTAGTTCTGGGCCTGAGAGGTAGAAGTGTATTGAGATTTTTATTTGAAACATGATCAGTAGTGTTACCATCATTGAGATAATAGCAATTTACCATGCTGATGGCATGTAATAAGTTTTAAACTCTCAACTTTAACATAAAAGGTTAATGCTATTAGTTTCTTAATGATATTACACTATAGATGCTGATCATTTTTTGAAATATTTTAGTAGAACTTATTCAAGGACAACTGGTATGAAAGTGTGGTTTGACTTGCAGATTTCTGACCATTGTCTGCAGTATAAGCCTGTCGTGTGGACATCAGGGTTGCCTGTGTTAGTTGTCTAAGAATAGCATCTGTCTTTAGACCTAAGGAAGTGTTGGAACAGCTCACGAATGTGAGACATCTTCTGATAAGATTAGCATTTGGTATCGCTATAGGCAGGACTCCGCAGTGGTCAACCTGTGGTAGTAATTGCCCTGGTTTCAGGTCCTGTGCAGGAGTGATGTATGAGTCAAAGCTTAAGTGTTCATAGTTGGTGTACTATAGCTTCAGTATCACTGATGACCTGTGGTTTTTATAGTCAAGGATTACTGATCTTATCTATTATGTAAAGATTTCATAGTTATAGGAAGGCAATTAGGATTAAAATGATAGCTGATAGGATGGTTCAATAGTTTCTACTTCTTGTGTATCTGTAGTGCTTGTTAACTCTGAATGTTAACATTAATGAAATAATACAAAGAACTAGTGAGCTAACTAGAAAAATCACTGATCACAGAAATGGAGTTCTTCCATAAAGGGGGATGTTGCATCTTCAAAGCTAAGTTGGAACTGATGTGCCATGGCTGATATAAAGGGTTTGAACCTATACTTTAGCTTTGACAAAGTTATGTAGTTTTTACTAATGTCACTAATGTTTACTAATGTTATTGAGAAAGTCATAATGATTAGGATGTTGGCTTAAAACCAGTTTTAGAGGGTTCAGTTCCTTTCTTATTGGAATATGTTCTTCAAATGTATCATATGGTGGAGGGGCAAGAAGGCATCCATGTGGTCACTGGAGATGAATGTTAGTTTCTAGTATTACCACTTTTCGTTTAATTGCAAAGTCTTCTCAAACTATAGAAATCATTAATATTACTGCTGCTAATGAAATAAATAAGCCTGTGGAAGAGAGAGCATTTTATGGTGTTTATGCATCTGCCAGTCAGAGTAACACCGTGGTAACCTGGAAAGGCCCAGAAAGTGCTGTGGAAAGAAAGTTGCATTAACTCCAACCAGTATAATTTGCTTTAGGTTGTTATGTTATACAGCCTCCATCTGAGGTTGTAAATATGTGATCCTGTTTAATTTTGATCCTGTAAATTCTAAAATTTTAAATTATGTTTCATTCTTTCATAAAAGTATTTCTCATTTGCATCCTTCTTCAGTTACAAGCTTCATAGGCAATTCCTCACAGGCTTCCAGACCAGCTGCAGTAACACCATGTCAGCAGCAGCTTGACTAATAACATTAGGACTGTATGTAATTCAGCTTGACATTTATAGTGTGATATTGATGAAAATGCTCAGGTTGTTGTATTTTATAAGCATGCACCTACTACTTTGGCCATTCATTCCTAGGCAGCATGCTGCCTGAAGAGCAGATTCAGTGATATTTTTAATCTCTCCTGATAATAGAAATCATAGTCAGCCTTTTCCTGGTTTGACTTAGAACTTTATTTCTGGATTCCTTAACAGTCTACAGAATACTGCTGGCAATACTGGAGTGATTTAGTCTTTTGCATATCACCTTGGTGTTTATTTTAACAGCTCTTAAATGTAGACCTTTTCTAATGCCCGTCCCAGTGATTTCTGAGGCTATTTTTAATCTGCTAGGTATTCCAGGAATTTTTACAAGATATTAATGTCAGTTGGCCATTTCCCCAGAGCATCCATCAGTTTTACAAAAATCCAAGTGAGAGAAAACTCCTACCCTCATAAAGCTAACATTAAGTGAGGAAGTCAGGCAATAAGATGTGTTTTTAAAAGTAGAATATCCAGTATGTCAGTTGGAGATATGTGCTATGGAAAAAAATGAAATGCCAGGAAGTAAGGGAGGTTGGTGTGAAACAGACTGGGTAGAAAGGGAAGACCACCCTGAGAAGAAAATTTAGGTAAGGGCCTGATGGAAGTGAGGGGGTGGCTGAGGGCGTGTTAGGGGGACCAATATTCCTGGTGGCAGGAGGGCAGTGCACAGACCTACAGATGGCAAGGAGGAGGAGGCAAGTGGAGTGACTGCATCAGGAATAAAGCAGCAGGAGATGAGGTCAGAAAAGTACAGAGGAAGGAGACAGATCGCCCAGTGCCTCACAGGTGGTGTTTCGAGAAGGCTTTGACTTTTTCCAAGTGAGAAAGGAAGCTGCTGAAGAGTGCTAAGCACAGTGCCGGTCATCTGTCTCAGGCTTTAACAGAATTCCTAGCAGTGTGGCAGGGCCAGAAGCAAGGAGACCTGCGTGGAAGCCACCACAATGATACAGGACGAGGAGGTTGATGGCTTAGAGCTTGCTTAACCCCCCACAGGCACCCACCGCAGGCCATGTCCCAAATACAACCGGCCCCCCAGAGCCCACTGTCCTGACTCTCATGGGAATCACTCCCTCACTAGTTACTTGAGTTTTATCACCCAGATGTCCATCCCTGAACATTACAGCTTTGCCTGTTGTTTAGTTTGGGAGGAGGAGTACAGAGGATGTCTTAAGAGAATGTCTTAACATTCAGTTTCCTTTCTATCTTTTTTTTCCCATTAAAATTTAGGGAAGAAACAGATCATTTGTCCTCCAGCTTCCCATGCCTGGATTTTGCTGACTATATTGTACAGTTTAGCATGTTCTTCTGTCCTCTCCTGTAAATTTGTTAGATTTGAGTTTGAATTTTTGAACAAAACAATTTCAGAGGTGATACAGTGTTTTTGATCAAGAGGTATGTAATATCTGGTAGGCTCTATTTTTGTGACATAAGCAGCTGCCAATACTCAGTGCCCAGATCCTTAATTCACTAGCTTCTTTGTACATTCATATGTTGGAAAATGTTCATAAAGAGAACCTCTTTCAATCACTGTGTGGTCACGCATTTTGTACAGGAACTGTCTGACTAGGAAAGGCAGGGCAATATTGCTCCTCCCTCCCCTTTGATAAGCCAGATTTCAAAGAGCTGCTTTCTCAGCACCCTCCAAAGAGGACTAATTGAATATATTTCATTGTTGTATCATGAACTCAATGATTAACATATTTGATGTATTTAAATCCACTGCCATTATCTTTATTGATATTCAAACTATCCCATCTTTTGCCAGTGGACTTGGGTCACAATCCCGAGTCACCCTTGACAGCTTCGTTGCTATATGGTATGGCAAGATATTCTAGAGCCATCTTACATATTTCCTGCCACACACCTACCTACAAGCAACCACTTAAATTTTAATATTTTGTGTTTAGAAAGAACAACAGGAAGCTTGTAAGCTGATAGGAATGATCAGGCTGAAAGAGGCAAAAGCAATGCTGTGGGGCAGAACCCCCTGGAGCAGTGTCCTGGAAGAGGTGAGTGGGATGCCCTCAGCAGGATAGACTTCTCATCGGCGCCGAGCATCAGGAGCAAAGACAGAGGCTGTGGGTCCAGGTGCAGGTGGGTAAGAGGTGGTATGGGAGGCTGCACAAGTTCTCTTCTGATTGCTCCAGTCTTCTCAGTCAAAGAAGAAATGTCATCAGCTAAGAATGAGAATGGAGGAAGGGGCCCAGAGGTCAGAGAGCAAGAGAGGAAGCAGTGTGACTGCTCAGCAGCACACAGAGCCTCCTGAATGAGCCTGGCAGCAATGACTCTCTCCCAGCCACTCTGAGCGGCCTGGCACAGGCCCAGGACAAGCACAGAGCTGCATGTGACCTTGTTTTAAGCCTTATGAAGATGATGAAGGATGAAGCAAGGACGGGCTTGGTGTTAGCAGTATGTGAAGATGGTGATAGAATGACAGATTTATGCTGGGAAGGAGAGAAGGGAGGCAATGTCCAGTTCATAAAAGACCAGTGGAAACTGAGCCAAAAAGACCACATAGCCCAATGCCGCTCCCTTGGTAACGGAGAAAGAACATGTAAACACTTGTCCTCACTTACAGTTTTGTAAGCAATGCCTAAACTTATTCAAACATGTGAGCACCGACTATGTACTAGAGACACAGATATGAGCAAGAACATCCTTGCCCTCTAGGAACTCAGAGTCCCATGAGGGAGCATGAGGGAGAGAGACACAAACATAACTGTGATGCAACATGGGAGTAAAATATGGGAACGTGGGTGTGCCATGAAATTATGTGGTCACAAAGGAGAAATTCTTCCAAGAGGAGCAGACGTCAAAGAAAGATTTTGGAAGGAAGGGAAATCTAAGCTCACACATAAAAGATGTGGCCCTAACCAGGGGGCAGGTGTAAAGAAAGGGCACTCCAGCAGAAGGGCCAGGCCAGGAGCAGTGTGCACCCCTGGGACTGCTGCCTGGCAGCCTACAGCGAAGCCTGCAGGTCCTGCAGGCAGTGGGGGACACAGGTCACCCCATCACTGTGGCCTCTTAGCGGGTCACTCTGACCCCCTGGGGAGAGTGGGCCCCAGTTTCCATCAGGAAAGTACACGTGAGAAGACAAAGCAGAGATGAAAGATCAGGTGGGAATGTGGGTATAATTACAGAGAAGATAGGTGATGAAGGCTCCACCCAGGCAGTGGGAATGGAAAGGGAGAAATGCAACCAAGAAGTAGTTGCTAGACAGAAAGACAGAATCATTAGAGCTCAAGGGACAGTTGGGGTTGGGGAAGGCACACCAGAGTCGGCCTGCATGACTGCTTGGCTAGTGATGATAACTCACAACAAAAGAGAAAGGTCGAGTTTGGTAAAGGGAGGAAGAGTTCAAGTTTAAATATGTATTGCTTGAGGTGCTGACGAATAGCTAGGTAGAGACGTCTAGTTTTCAGTTAAACATATAAATAAAAGTCCAGTGGAGACTTGAACTAGAATTATAGAAAACTAAAAGACAATTTCTTCCTGAGCATTAGATTTTTAGACAGTGGTCCCCCAGACTTGGTTGAGCATCAGATTACCTGGGAAACTTTTAAAATCCAGATTCCCTGACCTACCACAACTCACGAAACCCTATCTTTATTTTTGTTTTCTAAGAATAGTTTCCAAGTATTTCAAAGGCTGGAGAGATTTTCAAACTAAGAACCAGCATGTAAGAGTCAGAACTTGATTCAAACTTTGACTACATAGTCCATTAGCTCTGTGACTCTGCGCAAGTTACTTAACCCCTACTGTTAAGCCTTCACCCCTTTCTCCTGGCTAATGCCACATAACCTCTTGAAGACACCTCCAAGTAGGCTTACCATGCAGACAGGTGGTGAGGATGGGAGAATGCAAAGACACAGCACACAGAACACTGGAACCACCCAGTAAACAGCAGCTGTTTTTTTCTCTATCAGGTAAGTTTCATCGCCCTATGTTAACGTTCTGCATTGCACTAAACCTTTTTGGGGCTTTTTATGTAATTTGCTTCTCCTCCCTCTCCTCCCAGGTAGGATTAAAATGGAAGCTTCCTGAGAGCATGACCTTCCCGACTTGCTCACCTGCTCTATCTTCTGTACCTACAAACGTGCCAGGCTCTCAGGGTGGGCGTTCAGGAATAAGTGACTCAGGTTATGAAAAATGACAGTACTTTAAAAAGGAGATCAATCTCTTCCTGACATTTCAAAATCCTGTCTATTCTAGTTCTCTTTCCATTTTAAAGAGATGAACTTTTTCTTACCCTCAGGTTTCAACATCAAAACTTCTCCACCCTAATATTTTGTGACCACTACAAATAATTATGGTCCTGCAGGCAGTGGGGGACACAGGTCACCCCATCACTGTGGCCTCTTAGCGGGTCACTCTGACCCCCTGGGGAGAGTGGGCCCCAGTTTCCATCAGGAAAGTACACGTGAGAAGACAAAGCAGAGATGAAAGATCAGGTGGGAATGTGGGTATAATTACAGAGAAGATAGGTGATGAAGGCTCCACCCAGGCAGTGGGAATGGAAAGGGAGAAATGCAACCAAGAAGTAGTTGCTAGACAGAAAGACAGAATCATTAGAGCTCAAGGGACAGTTGGGGTTGGGGAAGGCACACCAGAGTCGGCCTGCATGACTGCTTGGCTAGTGATGATAACTCACAACAAAAGAGAAAGGTCGAGTTTGGTAAAGGGAGGAAGAGTTCAAGTTTAAATATGTATTGCTTGAGGTGCTGACGAATAGCTAGGTAGAGACGTCTAGTTTTCAGTTAAACATATAAATAAAAGTCCAGTGGAGACTTGAACTAGAATTATAGAAAACTAAAAGACAATTTCTTCCTGAGCATTAGATTTTTAGACAGTGGTCCCCCAGACTTGGTTGAGCATCAGATTACCTGGGAAACTTTTAAAATCCAGATTCCCTGACCTACCACAACTCACGAAACCCTATCTTTATTTTTGTTTTCTAAGAATAGTTTCCAAGTATTTCAAAGGCTGGAGAGATTTTCAAACTAAGAACCAGCATGTAAGAGTCAGAACTTGATTCAAACTTTGACTACATAGTCCATTAGCTCTGTGACTCTGCGCAAGTTACTTAACCCCTACTGTTAAGCCTTCACCCCTTTCTCCTGGCTAATGCCACATAACCTCTTGAAGACACCTCCAAGTAGGCTTACCATGCAGACAGGTGGTGAGGATGGGAGAATGCAAAGACACAGCACACAGAACACTGGAACCACCCAGTAAACAGCAGCTGTTTTTTTCTCTATCAGGTAAGTTTCATCGCCCTATGTTAACGTTCTGCATTGCACTAAACCTTTTTGGGGCTTTTTATGTAATTTGCTTCTCCTCCCTCTCCTCCCAGGTAGGATTAAAATGGAAGCTTCCTGAGAGCATGACCTTCCCGACTTGCTCACCTGCTCTATCTTCTGTACCTACAAACGTGCCAGGCTCTCAGGGTGGGCGTTCAGGAATAAGTGACTCAGGTTATGAAAAATGACAGTACTTTAAAAAGGAGATCAATCTCTTCCTGACATTTCAAAATCCTGTCTATTCTAGTTCTCTTTCCATTTTAAAGAGATGAACTTTTTCTTACCCTCAGGTTTCAACATCAAAACTTCTCCACCCTAATATTTTGTGACCACTACAAATAATTAGTATGAAAATCATGTACTAGCAGAGAAATGCATATGACATGATGCTAAAGGAAATGTGTGTACATATATATATATATATACCTGCACACAAATACACACATCTGTAACCATTATTACAACTGTGATTAAAAATACAGATGGATAAAAAAGAATGGAAGGAAATACACCAAAATGTTAATTGTAATTATGCTGCACAGTCAATGAATAATTAGAATCTTTGGAAGGTTTTCCCCTCCTTTTCAGACTGTTTCTAAGACTATTTTTGTAATAGAGTTAACATCACTTTTATAATGGAAACATTAATTTTCATGATTTTCTAGTTTGTTTCATCTCTTATTCCAGAACTATTTGAGTCTTTACTGTGTGGCAGGTGCTGTGCTAGGCCCAAGGCACACTGAATGAGACATGGTCCACTCACAAAGGCGTATCACACTCACCCAGCAGGGCAGCCACTATGCCCACCAGCCCCGTGCCAGCACCCAGCTCCACGGCAGAGCGGCCCCTGAGCTCCACGGCTCCCATCTCCAGGTATGTGGAAAGCACAACAGCCTGAGTCAAAACACAGCATTATGATAAAGGTCAATAAGAGCTTCAAGAGCTGAGGGGTTTCAAGTAGGCTACATGCCGGCAGGAAGGGATCACACACCCCTCTCCCACTGCAAGGTTCTCTTCCCAGCTTCACACACCGAGCTCAGCCGCTGCTGGGACGGAACCTCCTAGAGCCAGCAGACACCACGTCTGTCCGACAGCATGGCTACCCAGGCCCCACCAAAGTCCCTAACAGGGACAGCAGTGGTCAGTAACACTGCCCACACAAGCTGAAAAATTTAATTTAGTTTGGGAAATTTAATTTCACACTGTGTCACAGCACTTTTACACTTGAGGTTTACAACACTACTCGAGCAGAGCTAACGTGACCAGTGTGATTTTGCTTGAGGGGCTGCCCCTTTCCTCAGTTATGCTCAAGTCAGCAAAGCCATAACATCACCCAGAGGTTCTTGGAGCTGTGCTCCTTTTCTTGTGTCCCTGACAGTCATCACCTCACAGGATCTCTCACCATCTATTATTGGGCATCAAAAGAGAAGTTTTGGTCAAAGTTTGAATACTTGATGTGTGTGTGAGTTAGCATTTGCACACAATTCTATAAATGCATTACATATTTTAAAAAAATAATAGTGAGCAATTACATACATTATGAAATGCTCACTTCAGGATTGTACTGTTAACATAATTTAAAAATATAATTTGGTTTTCATGCCCACATACTGTTAGTATAGTTAGCAATTCCTCTTACCAATGAGCATTTAGGAGGCTCACCCATTTCATTCCTCACTACTGTATCTTTATTACTGGTTCTGGGAATACTTTTTACATAGTTACCTTGGGCTAGATTCCTAGACGTGGTATCACTGGGTTAGAATATATTAAGATTTTTATTCCTAAATGTTTCTCTAACATCCCTAAAACAATGCTAAAACTGTCAACTTTTATCTATGCCAATTATTTATCCAAAATTAAATGAGCTCCCACTGAATCCCAGGTATAATGCTAGATGCTCAGGGCAAGTCACTGTCTCAAGCAGCTGACAGAACAGTAGTGGGAGAGGAAGAAGTGAAAAAGCAATTGTAGTATAATTTTGCAACGATTACAACTATGGAAATTGAAAAGATTATCTTTTTGGCCTTTACCATTTGACAATATTCTTTGTGCGATACTTTTAAAATTAAACAACTTAAAAATTGACTTAATGAGTGACCAGGGCAGTTAGGGGCTCCTGCTCTCCCTCCAGTCCTACCTCTTTCCTACTGGGTAAGTGACTGATGAGTCATTTACCTTCCCTCAGTTTTCTCTCACTAGCCCTTAAAATGCAACCTATTTGCTGGGGGAGGAGGCAGGAAAGTATTTCTAATAGACACAAATTTTTTTTGGAGGGGGTGGAGGGATGAAAATGTGTTAAAACTGAGCTTGGTGATGGTTGTTGCATCATTCTGAATTTACGTTTAAAAAAATCACTTAATTGTACACTTTAAAAAGGTGGAATGTATGGTATATGAATTATATCTCTATAAAGCTGGTGTTTTAAAAAAATAAAGACCAGTCTTAGAATCAACTGCGGAGGTACTCAGAGATCCCCAGGGTTTACTTACCGCGTCCCAAACCACTGCTGCGACTCCCAGCTGCCTCCAGTCCTGCCGAATATGGATCGTGTGATTTGCAAAGGAGAAGGTGGCAAGAGGCTTGTGGAATTTCTGCAACCCCATTCCTGCGGTCTCCTCATAAGGCACCAGGGCCATTTTGCCTGCGCCCAGCTTTCTGCTCCCTCAAAGCTGTTGGGCAAAAGAATCCTGAGTGACCTCCTGGCCAGAAAATGCACTCTCTCTCAAGTAGCTCCAAATGCTTTTCAACGTCGTTTTACAAGCTCAAAAGAAGAAACAGGTGTCTAACTGTCAAATTCCTTTTGTATGGCTTTTCCTCTTATAGGAAGTGTAGATGTAGCTCTGAATTCATGGCTAAGGAATGTCTTTGGACAAAAAGAACCCAGAACTGTACAACTCTTGCAGGATGATGCCCTCCACACTCCATTACCATTCCGTGAATTCGCAACGGTTTATGAGTGAGCGAGGCAGGGGTGAACGCCCAGCGCCGCGCAGAAAACGCTTTCTAATCTGCCCAGGCCCACGCGGACTGCAGGGCGACCCGCTCGCGGGAGGCTGTTTGTTTTGGCCTTCCCTCCACCCCTTCTGAATCAGTGCGTTCACAGTGACAACCACGGTCCCGCACCTGCGCTCGACCGATCTGATTTTCCTGCTTTTTGACCCCAGCTGGGCGATTCCCTCGTCTCGAGTCTGGGCGTGAAAGACACTCATGGATTCCGTGTCGCTCGTGGGAGGAGCGAGAGCACGGGCCAGGGGCCTGCCCCGAGTGCCCCAAGCCTGCCCCCCGGCCGCCCCCTAGGGGTCCGACAGGGGCGCGCTCCCCTCCCGCGGCCCCAGAGCTCTGGATCCCGGCGGGGTGTGGGGCGGGGTCCGGTCCACAGCGCCCTCGGAAGCCCCGGCCGCACGCCGGGGGTGCCGCCCAGGTGGCCCGAAGCGCCGCCCGCAACACCCTGGGGCCTGAGACGAGACCTCGCCTCTACTCACGGTTGCCGGGTCGGCCGCCGCGCGGTGCTCTTGGCTTTCCCCACCCCGCGGTCGGCTGCGGAAACGCCCGGCCTTAAAGGGCCCAAGAGCCGGGGGACGGGCCGGGCGGGGTGGGCGGCCCCCGAGGCAAACACGCGCTTCCGGTCCGCCACCCGCCAGACGGGGGCGCCCAGAGCGAGGGGCCGGGACGGCGGGAGGGACGCTACAGGGGCGCCCCCGTGGGTCCCCAGTGCTTAGGCTGCCGCATCAGTTCCCCTGCCGCCCGGCGCTGCGCGGCGGGGAGAGCAGGAGCGAGGTGCCGGGCCGGCTGGGGCGTGGACAGGGCCCTGGACGCCGCGGGCGGGGGGCGGGAGGCCGCCCACCCGGCGCGGGACACGTTCTCACGCACGTTCCACTTATCTGCCTGGGAGCTCGTTCCCGCGCTTGCTTGCTTTTTGTTTCTTTTCCTTTGTTTTTTAAAATTTGCTGCGTTTTAGTGTTAAATTTGCCCGGTTAGCCGGTGTAGGAGAAAGTTCGCTCGGAAGTATGTGTGACCACATTCGTGCTCGCGTCGCCGAACGGGGTCCGAAGCGGTGTAATCGCCGTGCGGTGGCAGCAGCGTGGGAAAGGGACGGAGCCCCCATCAGCTAGAGCGTGAACCGGAGTCCGCACGTGCAGCCCCGGCCTTGATTGTTAAGACAGGGCTGGCGGGCGCGCGGCGGCCCCAGACCCGATCCCTGGCGGTTGCTGCAGACCCAGAGTCCCACTCTACTTCTCCCGGGCGGACAGCTGGCGCCCCTACCCCTAGGACGGCTATTGTGGCCCCCGGGCTGCGGGCGCTCGGAAGGCACGCGGCTGGAGTGCGCCCCCACCAGCGTAACCGCGCGGGACGCCGCCCTGCTGTCGGGCGGCGTCCTTCCCTTCCCGGAGCCTGGCCCCAGCCGCTCCTCGCACCTGCCGCCGCTCTGCCTCGGAGATCCGCAGCCCCGCGGGCATGCACCGGAGCGCTGTTCTACTCCGGGTAGCGGGACTCTGCCACCGGAAAGCCTCGGTTGGTGTGCGGTGGGCGTGAGCATTGGTACTTTTAAGAGCTTCCTGGGAATTCCCGGAGGGACCAGACCAGCGGTAAGACCCTCAGGCCGGGCCTAACTCCCTGCCTCCCCGCTTCTGCCATCCGCAGGGAGCGTGCCGACTTCTTTCCCGGTTTCTTTGACCTTCCAACCTAAGTCTGGGGCCGCAAAGGTGTCTTGAAGTGAACTTTGAAGGGCTTTTGCCTTTCTTGTTTTTGCATTGCTCAAGTTTATTTTTAAACTTGTATGTAATAGAATTTATCTTTTGGAGCAGTTTTAAGTTCACAGCAAAATTGGGGGGAAAAATAGAGTCCCATACACTCCCTGCCCCACACGTGTATAACCTCCCCCATTCTCATCATGCCACCCCACCAGAGTGGTACATCTGTTGCACTTGAGGAACCTACACTGACACATCATTATCACCAAAGACCACAGTTTATCTTAGGGTTTACTTTGGTGTACCTTTTATGAGTTTGGACAAATGTATGATGACATGTATACACCAGTACAGAGTGGTACACATCCCTAAAAAATTCTCCTGTGTTCCACCTATTCATCCCTCCCTCCTTCCTCTGTAACCCCTGGCAACCACTTATCTTTTTACTCAGCTCTTTGGTTAGATAACAAGGAATGTGAGGACTCAATCAGATGGTAAGGGTATGTTGTGTTTTGTAAGAAATCCCCAAAACTGTCTTCCAAGGTGGCTGTACCGTTTTGCATTCCAACCTGCAGTTACTGAGAGTTTCTGTTGTTCCACATCCTTGACAGCATTTAGTGGTATCGGTGTTTTGGATTTTAGCCATTCTAATAGGTGTGTTGTAATTGTTATAATTTGCAATTCCCTAATGACATAGGATGTGGAACATCTTTTCATATGCTAATTTGCCATCTTTACCTCTTCTTTGGTAAGGTGTCTGTTAAGGTCCAGCCCATTTTTTATCCTATTTTATTTAGTTTCCAGCTTTATTGAAATATAATTGACTTATTTGAGTTTAAGGTGTACAGTGTGATGATTTGATACATGTATATCCTGCAAAGTGATTACTACAATCAGTTAACTCATCCATCACCTCATATAATTACAATTTTGTGTATGTGTGTGTATTTATGTGTGGTGAGAACATTTCAGATCTATTCTTGTAGCAACTATCAAGTATATAATACTGCATTGTTAACTATAGTCACTACGCTGAATGTTAGATGAACTTACTCATCTTATAACTGTAAGTTTGTACCCTCTGAACAGCATCCCCCCATTTCCCCCACCCCTAGCTGCTAGCAACCACCATTCTGCTCTGTTTCTATGAGTTTGGTGGGTTTTTTTTTTAAACATTTCACATATAAGTGAAATTATACAGTATTCGTCTGGCTTATTTCATTTAGCATTATGTTTTCTAGGTCCATCCATGTTGTTACCAATGGCAGGATTTCCTTTTTATGGCTGAATAATATTCCTCTATATAAATATATATATATATATATTTTTTCCTTTATCCATTCTTTTGTTAATGGACCTAGGTTGTTTCCATGTCTTGGCTATTGTAAGTAGTGCAGGTATCTCTTCAAGATAGTGTTTTCGTTTCTTTCAGATATATACATAGAATTGGCATAGCTGGATCATATGATAGCTCTATTCTTTTTCTTGTACATCAAAATCTCATTTACTGGGGAGATAGAGCACTGGAGGATGGGCCTGGGTCCTTCTTGCTGCACTGCTTGTTCATTGATGCTACTTCCTGAGTCCTGTGGCTTCATGTTGGGCAGCTCTAGTGCCTGGAGAAGAGCTCCATATGCAGGGCCTCAAATGTTTCATCTGCCCAAAAAGCCAGCCCAACAGTGGCTGGGGATGGCAGCCATGCAGTTTGAAAAGTGAAGCCACTCTCATCCGATGTCTTGCTGTTATCCAGAAGCTAATCATCCTTGTTCAGCCTCTGCTCATTGGACGACTGCTTGAGGATGCCATTGATGATGTGTTTCAGCTCCAGCACAGTGCTTGGCTCCTTGGTCAGTGAAGAGGGTGGTCTTGTGGCCCTGGAGCATGAGGAACATGTCCACAGTGGCAGCCACCTCTCCCCTTCATGGGTTGGCATGGCTGCTGATTGTTCCATTTTTAATATCTTGAGGAACCTTTATACTGTTTCCTGTAGTGGCTGCACCAATTTACATTCCCACCAACAGTGCTCGAGGATTCCCGTTTCTCCACATCCTCGCCAACACTTGTTATCTCATGTCTATTTAGTAATAGCCATTCTAACAGATGTGAGGTGCTATCTCATTGTGGTTGTGATTTGCATTTCCCTGATGATTAGGGATGTTGAGCATCTTTTCATATACCTGGCATTTGGCCCATTTTTAAATCTGATGATTTTCTTCTTGTTGAGTTTTAAGAATTGTTGGTATATTTTGGGGAACAGTCATTTATTAGATGTATCTTTTGCAAATGTTTTCTCTCAGTGTGTGACTTCTTTTCATTCTCCTGACAGTTTCTTTAGCAGAACACAAAACTTTAAGGAAGTCCAACTTATCAGTTATCTCTTTCATAGGTTGTGACAATGGTGTCACATCTAAAAAATAATTGTCAAACCCAAGGTCTCTAGATTTTCTCCTATGTTACTGTCTAGGAGTTTTGTCACTTTGCATTTTAATCTATGGTCCATTCCCAGTCAATTTTTGTGATGGGTGTAAGGTCTGTGTCTAAATTTTTTTTTTTTTTTTGCACATGGCTATCTAGTTGTTCCAGCACCACTTGTTGAAAATACTGTCTTTTGTCCATTGTATTGCTGTTGCCCCTTAGTCAAGTCAGTTGACTTTATTTATATGCATCTATTTGTGGGCTCTCTGTTCCATTGACCTGTTTGCCTATTCTGTCATCAGTACCACACTATCTTGGTTACTGTAGCCTTATAGTAAGTCTGGAGTCAGACAGGGTCAGTCCTCCAATTTTATTCTTCTTCAATATTTTATATATTTTTTCTTTTTTGGTCTTTGCTCCCTCTCCTTTTCTCTCTCCCAGTAGCTCCTTTCTCTCTTATCTCCTCTACCTCTCTCTGCTGCTTCTGCCCCTTCACTTTCCTTTTCCTTTTCCTTTTTTTTAAGACATTCTCTTCTTATTTTCCCTTTCCCTCTCTTGTCCCTTTCCTTTTGGGAACCAGGATTGGGTACAAGAAGTATGGGCTTTAGGGCCAGAGAAACTGAAAATGTAAATTCTGCCTCTGACACTTTAATTAGTATGAACTTGAGCAATTTCCAAACCTCGCTAGACCCCAGGCTCCTCAGCCATAAAGCCTGGCACCTCTCCTCTGTCCCTTCTCCCTGTGCTCCATTGTTTCTGCTGAAATCATACCTAGGACTTTACAAAACAAAACCTTCCCAAACTCTCTAGCATTCCACTAACCTAGGACATTTGCTTCATTATATTTACTTGCAGTTTATCCAGAAAGTTGTCATTTAGTTTTTCTCAACCATAGTAGACAAGAAAGTTGTTTATATAGCCCTACCGATGTTCTAATTGGTACCAACTGGCTCAGGAAGCACCAGAAAGAATATTTAGGAACACATGCAACTTGTATAGCAGTGTAGACATTAAATAGACCTCTGTTTTTATCAAAATAAACCAAAACATCCAGTGGTTCCCTGTGAATAGTTGAAAATAAGTTTTTAATCCTTGAAAAAAAATTGGGTATGCAGTAGAGTGTATTAAATAGCCAGTCCACCTTCTACAGGCCTGTCCTTGATGTCCCTTCCTGAGGAAAGGCAGTCTCCCCACCTCTTTGAGGTCAGGCTTGGCCTTCTGACATGCTTTGGCCAATAGAAGGTGGATTGAAATAACCCTTGCTGCCTCTGAGCAGGCATGTGAGGTGCCTTACACAGCTGTGTCATTTGCTCAAGGACCGCATGTCCCAGATTGGGGCACTCCCTCACCATAGGTCCCCAGGGGGAGCAGAGCTATGGCTGACCTGTGAAATGTGTGAAGCTTGAGTGAGAAATGAACATTTGTTGAGGAAACCCTTGAGATCTCGGGGTTGTTACTACAGTCTAACTCAGCAAAAGCTGACCGAACACAGGTCTGTGAAAAAGGGAAATTTCAAAACTTTGGTAGAAGCTTTTAGTAC